ACATTGGTATTGAGTAGTCTTCAGCACTGGGGAAACAGGAGGTGAATGTAAAGTATCAAGTTCTCCTCTTACATTTATTTGTGAATTGGGAGAAATGTTCCCAACATCAGGCTCCCTTGGATGTGTAATAATGAGCCTGATTTACATACAATGGCTGCATTTAAGATGTTATCTCATATTTTTTCTTTCCTTGATTCTCTTGTAACCTTCTTTTTATTAAAACAACTCCTCCACACATGCTCCCTGAGCTGTGGTGCTGAAGCCAGCAGAGACTGTGGTTCTGTGGTGGAACATGCCATGTAATTTCTGCCACATATTAACTGGACAGTTGTCCAATATGCCAGGTTTTCTAAAAATGCATTACACAATAACAGGACATAAGTGATGAGAAAAAGTGGTGCCCATTGCTTCATCTTTCAGAGCAGCAGGACAGATTTTTGGAAGGGGAAGAAACCAAATTTCTGAGTAAAAGAAAGGGGGAGCTACCTCAGAAAATGGACACGGGAGCCTGGAGGTTTAGCTCACTGAAATGGAGAGATTTTTAAACCTCATTTCAGGTTTTGTTTCTTGGGTTTTTGCTCCATAGTAACCTTGACTGTGGGATCAGTGGTTCATATCTGAGATACATTGAGGCACTAGTTCAACCCAGGAGGAGTCTGGGACATTAGAGAACAGGATGGTTTTCTGTCTAGGAGGTGTGGACACTCTTCCCTTACATGATGTTTTCCATGCTTCGATTTGAGGGATGGCTTTTGTGAACGTGTGTCTGTCTCAGCTTTTCAAGTCTGGGCTTCAAGAGCCAACGTGTGAACTTCCTAGAGCGAGCCCTGGGAATACTCAAGACAGCTAACTAATCCCATTGCATTGTCTTTTGCCATTTCTGAAGCACAAATTTTGTTGTTCCAGACCATCTTAACCTTAGCAGGGTGAGTTAGACTCTGAGAATTGTTGGTTTTGTTTTTGTTTTTTTTTTGTTTTTTTTTTTTAAGACCACTTTCCATTAATTCTGCATTACCTTGTCTTCCTGAGTTTAAATCTTAAAGCCATACTTAAAGTACCAAAGAAGGTTTAAGCACACAATTGCCATTTGACATGGGTGATTGAATGGCTAAGCCCTGCATGTATGGAACAGCCTGTAGCCTGTACACTGCTGGGTAGATTGTATAATTGTTCATACATTAAGCAGCCAATTGCCAATTTGTGTACATATGTAGGTTCATCCTTTACCAGTTTCCTGTGACTGATAGTTTCCAGGAGATTAAAAGAATAGCCGGTTCCTGTTTTTTCTCTTTTCTTTGTTTTTGTCCTTTAGCAAGAATATTTGTGTGTGTGTGTGTGTGTGTGTGTTTAGTAGCATTCATTCCCTAGAGAATAAATTCAGTCCTTGTTTTAGCTGGCCTCCTTCTGAGAGTGTGTTAAATCTGTAGCCAAGATCACAGGCAGCTCTGGGCAAATCATTGGGCTGTTATTAACCTGCCTCCATGGCAACTGCGGCTCGCCAGCCTGAGGACAAAAAATGTTTTTATTCTGCTGAGTTGGACAAAAGGTTCTAGTGATGCCTTGCACAAAATGGGCATTGAAAGGGGAGATGCAGTGATGTGTGTTTGTGCTGTACAATTTAATATTTAAATCATTTTACACTGTTGTGTTGGAAGTGGATATACAGCTGAAAAGTTCAGCGTCTTGGCCATATGGAAAGTAAAAACTAGCAGAAAATTGGAACTAAACTTATTTTAATACTACTTACTTTTGTAAGCTTGAGTTCACAGGCCTTCAGCCTGCAGTTGTCATCAGTGCATTGGCAAGTTATTTTGTGAACACGAACTAAGGAAACATCATCATGGGTTTTCAGTTGTACTCTATGAAGATACTTGCTGATTTGGGGTTACAGAGAGAGATTATAAAGTAGGTTTCCTGGAAAACTTCCGTTTATTTCAGAAATCCTCTGATGTGCTTCAGTGCTTGTTTGGGAAGCTTGGTAAGCATATCTTAGCGTTTGATGACCTTCAAATTTTAGTTGGTTTTGAAAGCTCCTCTCAGCAGTACTGTTTTAGGTTAAAAAAAAATATATATATATAAAACCAGCTATATTGCTCAGGCTGGGCATGAATTTAAGCTGCTCATGAAGAGCATTCACAGTGGGAAAAAGGGGAGGGGGGATCTGGCAGCCCCAGCACCGTGATGAGGTTGTGTCCCTCAGTTAGTTACCCTCTGGCAGGAGGCTGTGTAGATCTGCTGTCAATTTGGGTGCAGAATGACTGTGTATGGATGGATGCTGTCTCTTGTAAACATGCTGGTTTGGGATGTTTCCTGTGCTTGCAAGCTGGCGGCACGCTTTTTCCCTGTGAACTGAAGTCCCTTTGCCTGCTGCTTTAGTCTTGATGTGAAGGTGAGTAGTTTCTGCAGTTCCACATTTGGGCAGTTTTCTCTGCCTTGCTCAAAATAGTATGGTTGCTTTAGACACCTCTTAGGGCCTCTCTTGGCCATGGTCTGCACTGATGAAATGAAGGCCACCCAAATATTGTGATGCCTGTTTACTTGGGCTGTAGAGGAAGCCATAAGGAGTATGGCCCCAAAGATGCTATGTGCAGCTGCCAGTCACTGGGAGGTGAGAGGGGCTTTGCTGCTGTTGGCTTGTGTTCAGGGGTCTGTGGATTAGTGGCAGATACTGTCATGTGTTTGGATAAGGGATCCAACAAACTCTCCAGGGCAAACGTTCTGCCAGGGGCCTAGAAAGCTGGCTGTGCAGTGTGGGGTGCTGGGAGGACAAGTACCTAGTTGGGGGTGTTATTTGTCAATCCAGGGTCTACAGCAATTTTTAGTTTTCTCAAGCAGGCTGCTCCCGTTTTATGAAACCAGCAGCTTTTCTTTCAGACTTTGTTAGTCCTTTGGCTTTGCTTCCAGCTGGTTTTATTTCCTATCTTTGATGGGATCCTTCTGCGAAGCAGTCTGTGGATCAGCATGATTAGGTGATCAACCTCCTCCACACCATGCAATGATCTAGTGTTCAGTCACCTTCCCCTTTAGGAGTGCAGCCCAAAAGGCCATTTGTTTTGTGCTGGGCTTTGCCCACGTGTGTGTTGAGCATTGCCTGCTGGATTGGAGCATGGTCACTCTTGGATAATCCTTTACTGCTAATCCTGCGCCAGGTGCAAGCATTTCTTGGATTAACTCTCAGAGGTTTGGGCCTGACCTGGGAGCAGATGCTGCGGAGGCGAGCCAGCCTCACGTGTATGGCTGCTGTTGCGTCTGGCGTGTGGCTTGTGAGCTGCATTCAAGGCAGATTCCCCAAAGCAGAGGATTGCTCTGCAAGGTCTGGTGTCTGAACTCGACTCTGGACCTCTGTGATAAAATGAAACCCAGAGATCATTTCCTCTGATAGCATGCATTTGAATTTTGTTTGCCCCATCACTGCTAAACTGCAGTGTTTGTTCATTCGGCAGCATTTTTGTCGTGAAGATAGTTTCTACTGAGTGGACTCCAGCTGTGGTCTTGACTATAAAAGCTTCCCAGGCTTGTTTCTGAACAATTAAATCTTGTCTGCAGTTAGTGAAGTGGCGTTTTATAAGTCATTTTGGTGCCGATAGCTGCTTAAGCCTGACTAGGATACTTGCTAGTGACTCTTTAAAAGAAGAGTTTCCTACTTATGAAATGGGAAAGCTTTCAATTATCGGATGCATATTATTCCCCAGTGCTTCACGGAAGTGCCTGCTCTGCAACTCATTCATTAGTGGGAAAGGGAAGGGGATAAAAATAAACTTGCCTCGTGTGGCGGATGGAGACTTGCTGATCTTTGTGAGGAATTTTTGGGGCAGGAAGATGTGATGTGATGTGATGTATGCGTTCGCCAGCTGTCTCCCTGCCTTCAAATGCTTTGTCCATTTAGTGCCTTCCCGTAGAAGCAGCGGGCTGTTCTTGCGACATGCAACGCTGGTCGCTCCATTAAGCGTTGTCTTAATGGCTTGTGTTTTGCTCAGTTGTATGAAATGCACATTAATGGAGACAGCTTAATACCATCACCCTGAAGTAATGAATTGGTATGGATTGCCGTTGCCATTATAGCGCAGTTAAAAGCTGTGTTTGTTTCCGATTTACATTTCCCAGCTCCACAAGCAGATGGGTTTTCAGGCCGCGCGGTCGGGAGGAACCTGGCAATTCAGCTGAAACCTCCTTATTACAGTGTTTGTAGACCAGGAGTTCTAGGGGGTGTTTTGTTAACTCAGACTGCTTAAATGATACATTTCATTAAAACTATGATTATGCTACTGCAGACTGTATTCAGGGATCACTGTAAATCCAGTATATCCTATAAAGCTGGAAATGCATTGTCTGTGTCGTACAGCTTCATCTCACTGCTTTCGATAAAAATTGCTGCTCTTTGGCCCCCACTCAATTTTCCTGTTGTTAAAATATCTGTATCCCTATAACCTCATACACATTTATACAAAAAGATACTTGGGAGCCATGGAAGAGTGTAGGTAGTTAAATTTTGCAGACCTAAACATGTTCTTCCAATGAAGGTGTAAAGTATCTCTTACCTTTCCAAAAGGCTTCACTGTTTTGAGTATTTGCTTCTCTGTCTTTCTGCATGGTGCCAGCAGAGCTGGTGCTCCTGCTGTTAGTAATGCGGAAACGTGGTGAGCTCTGTATGAGCAGCTGAATCGCAATGGGTCACTTTAGACAAGTGAGTTTGGTTTTTTTTTGGTTTGTTTTTTTTTTTTTTTCCCCATTTCATAGGCTGTCTCATTGATATCCTCTTGATCCTGTAAAGATAGGAGCACTCGGCCCACTTTCTGGACTTTTGAGTCCATACCAACAGATCTGTAGGTCACTGCTTTAGAGGGTGATGCTGTCTTGCACCACCTATAGATTTTGCTAAGCATGTCAACGCCAAGGCCTTTTAGTCCCTGTGGCTTTTACCAAGTGGAGGACAGATATTCTTTTCCTCATAATTTGCTTTTTGCTCATAATGTTTCTTTTGCTTTCTCTCTTCCGCTTAGGTTGCTTTGAATGTTGCATTAAGTGCCTAGGAGGAGTGCCATATGCTTCGCTTGTGGCAACCATTCTCTGCTTCTCGGGGGTAGCCTTGTTTTGTGGCTGTGGCCACGTGGCGCTCACGGGAACCGTGTCTATCCTCGAGCAGCACTTCTCCACGACTGCCAGCGACCATGCTTTGCTGAGTGAAGTGTAAGTATGCCTCCCATTTCCATTATTCCTCATGACATCTTCATGCTAGATGAGTAGTAGGAACCTCGGTCTCCATCCCTGAGTATTAGGTTGCTTGTTTCTCCAACAGCCCACAGTGTTGTTTTGGTGTTCACACACAAAGGACCAGAGTGTGCATCCTGCTTAGCCTGTTTATATTGGGACCAATAGTATTTAATATCTTCATCAGTGCCAGAGATAGTGGGACTGAGTACACCCTTAGCAGGTTTGCAGATGACAACAAGCTGAGTGGTGCAGTTAGTTTACTCCTGGGAAGAGATGCCATCCAGAGGGACCTTGACAGCCTTGAGGAGCAGGCCCCTGCTAACCTCGTGCGGTTCAAAAAGGCGAAGTGCAAGGTCCTGCACTTGGGGTCGGGGCAACGCCCGGTATCAGTACAGGCTGGGGGATGAATTGGACATGACCCAGCAATGTGCACTCACAGCCCAGAAAGCCAACCGTGTCCTGGGCTGCATCAAGAGCAGTGTGGCCAGCAGGGCGAGGGGGGGATTCTGCCCCTCTGCTCCACTCTTGCGAGACCCCACCTGCAGTGCCGTGTCCAGCTCTGGGGTCCCCAGTGTAAGACAGACACGGACCTGCTTGAGCAGGTACAGAGGAGGACCATGAAGATGATCAGGGGGCTGGAGCACCTCCCTTGTGAGGCCAGGCTGAGAGAGTTGGGGGTGTTCAGCCTGGAGAAGGCTCTAGGGAGACCTTATAGCGGCCTTTCAGTACTTAGAGGGGACTTCTAAGACAGATGGAGAAACACTTTTCACTGGGGCCTGTAGTGACAGAACAAGGGGTAATGATTTTAATCTGAAACAGTGTAGATTTAGTGCTTGTTGGTGATACAAAGTTCGAAGGGATGCCAGGAATAACAAGGAAATGTTGTTTTGTCCATCCCTTCCTCAGAAGAAGGTGGACTGGTATTGTACAAATGAGAAAAAAAAAGAGAAAAGACTGGAAAGAGCTTACATGTTTGTCTCTGCACCTGTAGCCTTTGGCGATAACCACCGGTGAAATACTCAGGGCTTTTGTGTTCCTGAGGCTTCTCCGTGAAACCAGAGGAAGGCCAAGAGGCCTGTGCCAGGGCCCGCAGGCCTTGGAGAGGCTTTTGGCCGGCGGCAGTCAGGGATTTTGCGCAGGCTGCGATTCACAAGGGCTGCGCGCCGGCGCCGGGATGCCGACTGGGTCTGGGTTCGGCCTCTCGCCCGCTGCTTGCCACGGGCCAGCACCGGCCGCGGGCACGGCGTGCGGCTGGCCCCTGGAGACGCCTCCATCCCGGGGCAGGGGGGCGAAGGGCGGCCAAAACCCTCTGAGAGCCACCCGAGGGCTCTGGGACGGGTCCCTGTGCCGGCCGCGAGCGCCTCTGAGGAGGGGGCCCGTGTGGTGCACGCGCAGGGGCGCGCTCGCAGCAAACAGGGCACATGCGTTTCGCTTATTTGCCCCCAAGATCCAGCTTCAGGGGCATTACTTGAAGGCTTTGGTACCAGGGTCGAACACAACACAATTCTCTTTTTTTTTTTTTTTTTTTTTTTTTTCTTTTCGTTCGTCCCTGACTCACGTTATATGCTTGCAGGCATAAACCTGCCAGTTTGCATGCACAGCTGATCCCTTCCCACCCCCAGGATCACTGGCGTCGGTCCCACAGCACCGTTTCGGGGCTTCCCCCCCTTGCGGGACCTTCTGTGCCCAGACCTGACACGTGGCTGCATCCCCAGCTCCAGCGCGCGAGCCATGAGGACCCTGCCGTTAGCCACAAAATTTAGCGAGAAACTGTACGCAGCTGTTCTTCAGCAACCAAGTAACAAAGCAACCTGTTCTTATATCAGCCTTCGTTTGAGCAAAAGAGAAGAAATTGCAAAAGCAGCCATGACAGGCAGCAAGTTTTAAATTTTGGAGAATTATTGAGAACGTTTCTTGTCAAGTCACCATCACCAGCTGGGGAAAACCATAATTCCTACCAAAGCAGCTGAGGTCTTGGCCTCTATGGAGGCCTAACAAGAAAGGCAAGGGAGAAGAGGTGCTAGAAAGGTGCAAATAATTGTAAGGCCACAGAGATACAAAATAAAAGAAAAATATGCTAGCAAGGCACTATTTGGGATAGATTTTTTTAACCAGGTTTCATATTACTGATTTCTGATATCATGCACTGAGTCTCTCTTGGACTGTTAATGATGGTGAAATTATTTCTATATTTTCCCAAATCCTGACAATTTTTTCAAGCTTTACAGCATAGGTGTGACAGATTTATCCTGTTATTTTTAATCAGTTTGGAAAACAAACATAACACTTCCCACATAAAATTTTAAATGAGCAATATCCTATTTTGATACAAAGGATGTGCTATATCTGTCTGATAACATTTAACTATATAAATGTAATCATCAGTTTTCTTTAAACTAAGCTAAAACATGCAGATGCTCCTTGGAGATCTATGCTAGCTGCTACTTAGTGGAGAATGGTAAAATTAAAAAAAAAAAAATCTGGGGAAAAATATATTCACCCCTAGAAAATTGTAGTATGGATATATAAAATTGACCTCTCTGTTCTGTAAATAGCTTCATCCAAAATAACCATCTCAACAATCAAAATTACTTTTAAGAAGGCTTAAGTTCTGAAGAAGTTGTGCTAATAACGAAGTATGAGTTTTGGAGACCAAAAGAAGCATTGTATGGAAGATCTGGCATTCTGGTCCTCCAAAATAATTAGCTTCAGATACTGAATCTGATTGATAACGTTTAGAAATTATTCTTTCTGTTTACCTATTCTAGCCAGAGTAAAAATACCATAAGAGTGTCATTGCAGATGGTGGGTTTTTAAGGAGTCAAGATCTTTCTCAAATAATATCCAAGGGAAGTGCTTATACTACGTGTCCTGAGATCTTCTTCCCCTGGCTGGTTCCAGCGTACCTCAAATGGAAGCATTTCCTAAATATTTCTTTCAGTTTTTAAAAATTTAATTACACTTTGGGGAGCTCAACATTGCCATGACTTAAAGCACTTAAACTACCTGCTCAGTTAGAAGTATCTTCCTAGGCTGTAGAGCAAACCATTCCTCCTCAGAAGTCCATGCATGTTTGCTGAGTTCTGTATCAAACAAGCATCACTGAATTTAAAAATTTTTGCAAATATACATTAGCTGGATTTTACAGGTGGAAATGGTGGATTTCAGGGACTGGTTCCTTTCCCTAAGCCGAAGGAATCACCATGGAGCTTGGTAGTTCATCCAGTAGTCCAGCTCCAGCCTTTGCCATTTCAAAGCCCTGTGTTGTCCCTGTCAGACATTCCTTGAGTTAGGTGTCAGGGTCAATAACAGGAAACAAAAACCTCCATAGCGGAGGCATGAAATTGTGGCTTCGAGCTGGTGCCTAATACCAGTCAGTGTAAGAACTGCAGCACAGACAGGGGATGCTTGAGCAGATGCAACAGTAATGCACATCAGTATTGCCTACCTGTAGAAGTGGGATAGTTGTTCCAGTGCCCTCCTGCAGCCTGCTTGCTTAAAATGCATTAAGGAGCCTTGAACTGTATTTCTAGAAGAGGAGTTATCCCATACCTATTATGATTTGGGAGGACTGGCTTTGTTTTTAAAGGGCTGAAATCTAATGATATCTTTCTTCTTTCCCCTTTTAGAATACAGCTAATGCAGTATGTAATTTATGGCATTGCATCATTTTTCTTCTTATATGGAATAATCCTGTTGGCAGAAGGTTTTTATACAACAAGTGCTGTGAAGGAGCTGCATGGAGAGTTCAAAACGACAGCCTGCGGCCGCTGCATCAGTGGAATGGTGAGTAGCATCAGAAAAGGGGAAAAGTAATCTCCACTTGCTAAAACCTGTTGGGCTTGGCTTGACTCCTGTGTTTCTGAACAATATATTTTTGCCTTCTTTATGGGTCGTCAGAGTCAATCACTGTTGCTGGGCCTTCTCTGAACTTCAAGGGTGCTTGGTCAAATGCAAATTCTACAGATGGACTGTCAGGGTGCCACTGTAGCCTCCCCTGTCAAAAAGCTGAACCCACTGGTCTGAACTAAGTTAATGGAGACTGCTAATTTTAAAACAGTCAGTGTGAGACAAAATGAAATTTGTGATTTTAAACATGGAGCACAATAGTGATGCTTAAAGGCGGACTGTAAAATTGCTGTGGTTTGCAGAGCTATTTAAAAACAAACTGTAATGCCTCTGACTTCCATGGTCAATTCTGCTTGAGGATGTCTGGATCCTTCAGACAAACAGTAATGAATGAAGCTTCACAATATCTTTGCACTTGAATCGAGTATTGCTGTCTTGCTTTTCCAGATGGCAAAAGGCATACAGATAGAATAGTGAGTCTTTCTTGCAAAGCTGAAACACTTAAAGCCTTAAAGTTACAAGCCATTTTCCCTTCAGCATATTTCTGTATTAGAACAAAATTTTAAACAAAGTTTAACTAAAAATAAAACTTCAGATTCTCACCCATGTTGCCCCCTAGGGCGCACTCTGCAAGAACAGAAACATAACTATGTTTCTGAGACAGGATTTCAAAGCTATTTCTGAAAATCTGAATTCAAAGCTCATGGTTATGGAGGAAGCTAAGCAGTATGACAGATCGCCCACGGGAAAGTGTGGGTGAAAAGAGAAGAGGCTTTTGATGTGATTGTTGCATTTTAATATACAATCTATATCCTGTACTTTAAAAATATGTACTTTCAGCTGGTTAAATACAAAGAGATGCATGTTTATTTTCAAGAGGCTTAACAATTTTCCACTGTGCTGTTGGATACTTAGAGAATTTGTCAAGAGCTAATAAAAATAAGACATATGATCATTCTCCAGTTAAGCAGCTATTTGCTTGTTTTCTAGCAAGTATGACCTGCACCGAGGAGCAACTTTAGATCTAAAGTGGCATTTTCCAAAGATCCGTAGTACAGTAGAATCATACACATATGTGCATCTCATTAGTACAGACAATTGCTTCTGTAGTTGAGTAGTTGCAGGCACGTGATTGTCAGCTGCATATGCAAATACCAGTGTGACCCATGGAAATATGACAGAAAAATGTGTTTTCATGTTTGTCCATATTTGTCCACACAATAAAGGAGAGAATTTAGCAGCTGACTAATAGCTTGGAGCTCTGGTTAGACACATCAGTGTTCAGTGGTGACAGTCGTGGCGTAAAAATGCTCGTATGGCACCGTGTAGCAGTAGTGCTGCTTAAAACACCAGGGTTAGAACAAGGTTTGCCAGGAGATGGACAAGCAGCTTTTGGACATATAGTGATGCTTTTTGCCTCTTTGATCAAGAGCTCCTGTACTTCCTCCTCCATGACATTGCCAAGCAAGGCCCTGAAAGGCAGTCCCTTCCATCTTGCATAAGGTTATTACAGAAGACAAACTTCCAACTTCCTTAAATTATTTTTGTTGGCTGTGGTAATGCAGAATAGCCATTTCCCACAGTTACCACATTAAATGTGAGAATGAGTGTGTTTTTTCCTGGCTATTTTAGGAGTTAAAGGCTTTGTGTACTTCTTCTCGTGCATACTTCCACACTCATATGCAAACCCACATTTTATGTATAGTGTATCTGTAGAAATCCTGTAAACTGGCTCACTTAGTCCTTACCAAAATCCAAAGAGAGAATTCTCAATTCTTGCATAAAACACACAGGTCTGGTGTATGGCACTATCTAATATGAAATAGGGTATTTCAGTCCAGTTGTGTATACATTAAAGGCTACCTGGTTTTTTTTATGGGCCTTAGTTTTGCCAGCACTTCCACCTCCCCACACACACCACCTTCATTGACTGTAAAGCCTAACCAGTTGCTCAGCCTTTGCTGTAAGGTTTGCAGTGCTGTTCAGCGCTTCTGGGTGAAATCCCATGATCTTGCAGATTTCCACCACTGCAGCATTCCTTCAGTCCCTCAGTTTTGGGTCAGGCTGATACAACTCCCCCCCACACACACACTCAAGAGCCTTTCCCATCCTTGCTGTTCTTCTCTGGCACACAAGTTTCAGGTGAGGTGGTGCAGCATCAGTGCCTTACTGGAAGTAAAGCCTTTCCAGTCCACCTACAGTTAAATAACAGAGAAAAGGGAAACGCACAAGATGTAACAGCATTCCCCCACTTTCCAAGCAGGGTCCAAATCCCAGTCTCACCAGGAGGAGGGAGCTAGCAACTGATGCCAGAGATACTGTTTCACCATAAAACTTAGAAGAAGAGGGAAAAGGGAAGAGGTCCAGTGAGAGGGGGAAGCTGGAGATTTCCTAAAGCAATGAGTGCTCTACTGTATAATCTTACCAAAGAAAATGCATGCAATAAAGTTTGTTAAAAAACGAGCGAACCCGAACCAGTAAATTCCAATGGAAGATCCATGATTCTGTAAGGTGAAGTAGCTAATTTTCTTCTTGGCAATGTGTATTAGATCAACTGAGTCCTTCTGACCTGCTGTAATGCCTGTGGTATGTTTTAAAAAATAGGTATTCTCAAATGTTACATTTAATATTGATTTCGGTAAGTCAGGGAGTATGGGATAGCTCTGTGAACATCGATTCACTCTGTTGTTTTGATTTTCAGGTTGTACAGAAATGGTAGTGTATGTTAATTAAAAAAACTTAAATTGATTTTTGTTGGCATTTTATTGGTTTTAGCCTACAACCAGAATCCCTGCTTCGCTGAGAATCTTGAGAAATTAGTGGACTGCTCCTTCAGGAGGGCAAGCTGTTTACTCAAGCAGGCTGATGAAAAAGGAAATGTCCAAATTACTTTCTCATTTACACTAAAACTAGGAATGAGAATACTGATTTTATTTCTGCTCGGAAATCAAATTTTTTGTTACTTGGTTTATGAAAGTATGCTTAAAGATTATTTTGAAGCATTTTTAAGGAAAATTCAGGTACTCTTTCCAAAGAATAAATGTGAAGTGCTTGTGTTTTCTTTGCCCAGTTTGTTTTCCTCACCTATGTGCTTGGAGTGGCCTGGCTTGGGGTCTTTGGCTTCTCTGCTGTGCCTGTCTTTATGTTCTATAACATATGGTCAACTTGCGAAGTCATCAAATCTCTTCAGACAAATGTGACAGTTCCAGGAGACCAGATCTGCGTGGATATCAGGCAATACGGTACTCATTTTAATCCTGATTAAATGCTTTATCCTTTCTCCTTGGTCTGTCTTCGGTAGTTTGTCTCCGCCTTACCAAATGAACCAAATGCAAAAGCATCTTGTGTCTCTGAATGTGCTATTACTTTTCTAATTAATTCAGATTACACTGATCTCTTTCCAGATGCAATCAATTTAACTGAACTGGCAAGTCATTTATCTAAAATTATTTTGTAGCAGTTTCCAATACTATAATATTAGGTTTAAAAATAGTTCGGCCTCAAAATAAACTGCTTAGAAACAGTGCTGAGAAGTAGATAACCGGATTCTGGGGTTTGACCCCATATGCATACATTCTTCCCTTTCAAAAAGATGTTCCTACATTTAAATATGAAGTTAGCACCTGAACTTTGCTTTAACAATTACTTTCAGTTAAAAGACCAAAAACCTGCAATCAAGGCTCTGCCCTAACTATTAATGAATTAATACTGCTTTGTGGTGAGACACAGAAATCCAAGGGGGGTGCAGGTAGCAGAGGAGCAGGACAGTAGTTTAAAATAGGGTCAGGCTTTTCAAGTAGTTCATTCCTTAAGGTGAATTTTTCTTGAAGTTAATCTTTTCAGCTTCCCTTCTGCAGAAGAGCTTTTGTCACACTTACTTTTATCTAGCGTTTTCTAGGAACGTTCCTTTCTTTGGACTAAGTCATTCAAAGATGAGAAAACTGATTCAGAGTTGAGAGTAAGAAAGCTTGGTTTTGCTTTCCTGTCTGGGCTGTAATTCCAATAGGAGAAGATACACAAATTTTAAAAGCAAGAAGTCCTAGATCTGTTAAATATTTGCATCTTATTTTACCAACTGACAGCGAAAAGGCTGGGAAGATGTTTTCTTCAGCAGCAAAGCTTAGGAGTGCAGGGGGAAGCTGCACTCCTCCATCTCACTGCTTCCCCTGGTGGTTTCACAGCTGTAGGAGCGCCGTGTGGGGCTGTGCTGTTCCTCTGATGAGTTCAAAATCATTTGGGTTTCAGTGAGCGATGGGAGAGGGCAGCTCCTTAACAGGCAACTTCTGTCACTGAACTGTCCTCACGTTTTTGGGTGGAAGCAGCAGTGAGGCAGCTTCAAGTGTGCGTTGCAGTTGCAGAGAAGCTGGCTTTAAAGTAAATCCTATAAAATCTTTTTGAAAGCCATACCATCCTGAGATAATTTCAATGACCTGTCCCTTACAGAGTTGCTAATGCCAACCAGCTGAGTTTGAAATGCAAGTTGTATGGGGGAGACAAACTGTTTTTTTCCTGTTTCAGATGGCTTTTGTTTAAGCTTCACATCTGTCACAGGCCTAAAAGTTTATGTTATTTTAAACCTTATAGATCCTGTCGACTTTTCAGATTTTTCAGTCGTGTAAGAAAAGCAATTGGGAGTAGATGATGTATGGCAGACCAAATTTTCTCGTAGTAGTGTTCGCTTAATGCTTCTTACCTATTGAAACTAAAACAGAAAAAATCCTTCTGTAATTCTTCCCTCTATCTCGATATTCACACTCTTCTACAGTAGTTATTGTTCAAGTAGAACTTAAATCTAGCAAGTGCTATCCTGAAAGGTGCCAAATACCTCTGAGACACAGATTATCCCTTTCACTGTGGAGTGGGGGAGTAGGCAGTATGTGACTGGACCTGAAGTGCAGAAACCCAACCAACCATTTGGCTGCCATATGGGAAAACCACATCTGAGAACATGCCTTGGCAGCAAGCCTCGCTATAAGGAGGAAGCACAACTTGAGTGAGTTGTTTTAATTCTTCCTGCCAGTTCATGGCTGTACTGGTCAATGCACAGATGCCCAGAATGGGAACACAACTGGCAAGTGGGTGGAAAAGATGAGAGAGGAACAGAAAGTGTGTGTCGATTGCTAAAATTAGTGGTTTCTTTTGCTGTGGTATTTCAGGTATTATCCCTTGGAATGCTGTACCTGGCAAAGCCTGTGGTCCGATTTTAGAGAACATCTGCAACACAAATGAGGTACAGACACATAACCCGTGTGCAGCTTTTGCCCACAAGTCACTTGGACACCGTGTAATAACTAACTTGATGAAAGTTTTTGGAGAAAACTAATACTAATAGTATGAAGAGATTGATTTAAACACAACACTGAAATTACTCTGTGTTAGGTCATCCAGAAAATGAAAATTATTTTGAACATTTTTATCTTCTAAAGCTTTGAATTCCTTGCTACAAAGATGGTTTTATTATCCTTATTCTCCAGAACTGTTGCAATGCATTTTATACTATCCTCAGTTGCTTCAATGTTTTTAACATGTTTTTTCTCTAGTTCTACATGTCTTACCACCTGTTCATTGTGGCTTGTGCTGGAGCTGGTGCCACTGTCATAGCATTGGTGGGTAGCATTTTTTGTTGTTTTATTGCGTAACATGGTCCTTTCAGGCTTAAGATGCTTTAAGATTAAATTTTGTGTAACTTTACAATAGTGATACTAGACATTAAGGAGGGCGAGCTGGAATCGCCATTATTTGCTGCTGCGGTTTGGTCATTACAAGTCAGCAGGTCCCAAACTTTCGCTTTGAAAAGTCATCTTAACCCACCTCCCCCAGCTTTAGAAAAAGAACTCTTTGCATGTCCTTTGAAAATCCTACTTCTACCCCCTGTTTCTGTGTCCACCATTTCTTTTCATTTTTGCAGTTTATTTGATCACTTGCTCGTAGCCTCTTGAGTTTTTTTGTCTGGGCCCAGGCAGTTTTAGTCCAACTCAGCAATGCCAATTACAGGCGGCAGTTGGAAAGAGAGACGGACATTAACGAGATGACTTGCTTCATACGCCTTACCGCTTCCTCTAGCCGCCCGCTCCCAACCTCGCGTCAGCCAAATCCAGGTGTAATACGCGCTATTTTTTGATGAAATAGCCTTAGCTCTGTATGTAGATTATCCTCTCCAGATAAATGGGAAGTTAATTTATCTTGCGTCTTCACCCTGGAAGAAGCTCAGAATAACGTCTGTTGTAAAAGTATCGACAGTTGCCCAAGTGGGCTTGAGCCGTCACCTTGTTGTATCTTACTCTCCTGTATTTTGTTCTCTTCCACCAGCTGATCTACATGATGGCTACTACATATAACTATGCTGTTTTGAAGTTTAAGAGTCGGGAAGATTGCTGCACTAAATTCTAAATTGTATAAGCCCAGAAAAGAGCTGCATTGCGTAGCTTGAAATACCACTGACACCCTAGGCTAAAAGTCTAGCTCTCTGAATTTTGTTACAGTAATTGTAAATAGCTTCAGTAAGCATCATTTAGCTTATCAGATTAATAAAATGACTTCTTGTATATGAACTATGATGTGGATGAGATCTGGCTATTTTTTCATGTCGAGAGGATTCAGTTACTTGTAGGGGTGTTTATGAATGATCCTTCTGAAGATGGGAGGTTTCCATTGCAAGTGGAGACTTGCTTTCTAACAGTCATCTCTAAAACAAATACTGGAACAGTTCAGGGTCAGAATGATTGATTTATTTTCCATCCAGAATACCAAATACAACACACACACACACACACCCCCAGCATACAGAATATACATGACACAAAAGAAAAGGAATAGTAAAGTAGTGCCAGTCTCTTTGGGCAGAAATCAGAAGCCCGCGTATTACGAATTAGTTGGCTTGTATTTCCAGTGCTTGGATGATAAAGTTGATTATTTTCTATTACTTACTTTTTAAGTAACTGCCAAATCATGCTCTCTCTGGAAGGAACTATATCCTTGTGTTAGCTCTGCGTAAAACAATCACATTCTTTCTCTTGGACCCTGAACTTGTAAGAAACAGCGTATAAGTAGCTTCTGTTCTTGTGCGGCTTGCACTTTAGTAACTGATTTCTCAGTAGCCAGATCTCAAAACTGTAAGTATGACTGCACGGGAAGCAAAACCATGCATAGATCATAGAGACCTTTTTACACTGTTGGGATTAAAAAACAAAAAAAAGTGAATCGGTGTTTTCAGATGTAGATTTTTTGCATGAAGTATGGTGAAAAGAAGTTGGGAAGAAATGAATGCACAAACTAGAAAAAAATCCACACAGTAATAATAATGAAAAAGAACCAGTTGCTATATACGATATGAAACTCTTCACCTGAGGTTGGGCAATGGAAGTTTAAAATGTAGTTATAAAAATATACAATTAAGACTTCTTAACCTGGAGATTGCATGCTTTTGCTTAGTTTTGGACTCATGTTTTGTTGTTTAATTTCTCAATATGTTAATGTAGCCTTGTTCACGTAAATAAAACTGTTTACAGTTTCAGGCTTTTTCCAGGGGGAGGGTGGAGTTCTCATCTGCTTGTTGGGGGAAAAGACTTACTGGGATCTGGGCTTGGATACACATAAACACCCCAGCCTTAGAAAGCAGTTCTTCTGAGCACCGCGTAGCTTACAGACTAGATGAATCACCGTGTACAAAACTTTTTTCCTGCTTCCCCCCATTCTGCATTTTAATTGATCCGTACAACTCTGTAGCTCATTTTGTTACTGTTATACTAACTTGCTCTAAATTGTGAATAACAGACTGAAATATTAGCATGCCAAATTCTAGAGATCTTTGAAAATAGCCTCTGTGCTTGTTTTAATAACAGAATGCTTATTAACGTAGAATAACTTTTTTTTTTGGTCGTTATTTTAAAGAGCATCTATTAATCTAACTAGCAGCTTGCTTTGCCTCTTGACATGCTCACTAGCCATCATGCTCACCCTTCTCTTCCAGATCCACTTCCTCATGATACTGTCTTCTAACTGGGCCTACTTAAAGGATGCGAGCAAAATGCAGGCCTACCAAGATATCAAAGCAAAAGAAGAGCAGGAGCTTCAGGATATCCAGTCTCGGTCAAAAGAGCAACTCAATTCTTACACATAAATGTTTGCCACAGTAATTCAGCAGAAGAATTCTGTAGCTCTGACAAATCAACAAATAGCTGCTCTGCAGTACAGATGTGTGTCTACCAAACAAAATTAGAGAGAAGTGCAAAAGCTTCACATTCCAGCTCCTGGAACACTTTCATAGGGAAATCTTCCCACGGGTAACCTTCCATCCTTTCACACAGAGAATGGAGGTTTTATTCCAGGCATTTTAAAAGGCAACACTTCACAATAAGTGACCAAATTACTCTTCTTTGAGACTTTTGGTATTTAATATTTGACATGTTCTACAGCATGACGTCCCGCACAAAACCGTGGCAGGTGCTCCAAACCAGCAGGCAGTAGAGCTCTGTACAGACCTTAGGCAAAGGCACGCGCGTACGACGTGTGGTGCAGGATCTCGGTTCAGGTACCAAAGGGAACTGTGGCCGGCCAGGGTTGCCGACAGCTCGTGCTTACGTGACAGCACCGTTGCAGCGGTTCCTGAGCTGCAGCGGGGCCGTCGGAAGGCTCCTTCCCTGCCCCACAGGAACAGCACTCCGCCTTGGTGCCACGCTTTTTTATGAGGGAGCAGTCACACCCCTGTGCTCACCTGAGCACTGAGCAGCCGTCCCAAGTTTTAATCTTTTTATTAACTATTTAATGGAATGTAGATCCCCGGATCTGGATAATGATCCCCTCCTTTGAAAATAAATGTCAGCTTTGCCTTAATATTTATTTTCTATAAATGTCTTAGCATTTATATAGTGGCAGGAGACCATTATCCGACATTTTAAGTAAGTGAAAAGTGTTACCTTATTAAAATGACACTGATCTGACTATTCCAAATGAGCAGATGAGAAAGTTTGCAGAGTTTTACACAAACAATAAAAATTACAGCCATAAACCAGAATACAGGATGTCCACCTTTTTCTCTTGGTGCTTAGCAAATTTATAGTCAGTGCTTATGTGTTTTCCTTTTTACAAATTAATTAGAACATTAAGAAAACGTGGTGTTCAGAAAAAAAACAAACTGGTGCCATTTTAAAAGTCATTTCCCATAGAAGTCTGCCTTCTAATTAATGTTTTTTTTCAGATGCATTCAGTGATATCTTGAGTATTAGTGATGGTATATTTGGTGTTTGTTCTATATGATATATATATATATATATAAATGTTGGGGGAAAAAAAGTAAAATACATCAGTCATTTGAAAAAATTAAATATTCAAGTCATACCCATGTTAAGCTGACGTGTGGTTTGATAGTTTTGACTGTTTGCTGAATATAAATCAAAAGGAAGCACAAATTTCTTCAAGTCAGTATTAGGAGAAAATGAATTTTGGCGGGGTATTAACTTCAAATATGGATTTTTTTTTTTTTTTTGTTAAATATTGAAGTCTAATTTGACAGTTTCAAAAAGGGGCAAAGTTGATCAATGTAGAGCAAAATATGACAAAATAGCCTAGTGTATGTTCTTACCTGTTGCATGAAGGAGACATTTCTACAGCAATGCAGGTGATGTTCTAGCCCAGTGTTTGCATAAGGGTAATAATGGAGGCAGTGTCTTAAAGCCTAATTCTTTTCTAATTCAGTGTAGCTATTACTGGGAGTTTTGGAAGTTTTGTTTAAGTAGTCTAATATTTTTATGTAAAGAGCATTAAATTTTGCTATGTATAAATTTTTGTAACCTAACAGTGAATCAATATTTTCTATCAGTGCCAAGGGCTTCCTGTAGTTACATCCAAGTGTTAAAATAAATATTTGTAGATAATAGACAACACTTGTGTACGCTTATTTGAAAACAGACCTACAGCTACTCCATACGAGCGAGCGCACCTCTGTGCTCGATGTCTCTATCCGAAGTTAAACACGTTTTGTTCAGTAGGACCAATCCGTTTGCTCCTGCACGGGGGGGAGGCCCTGTAGGTGTACGCTTCAGCATGGTAAGTAAGTCAGCGAGTGTTTCTAGCATGAGTTTGGGTAGTTGTTCCAGGCCAGCATAATGCAACAAGCACTACCCGGCCCCTTCCGGACATCAAACAGAAGGAGTCCCTCAGAAATTCTGTAAATGCCAGCACTGCTGCAACACCAAATCGAGCAGCACATAAAAGCAGGCTAGCCACCAGATCACGTTTTAGCTTCATTTCTAAAAGCAAAGTTGTATTTCTGTCACATTTCTGGTTCAACATCCAGTGAATTCAAGACGGAGCTTCATTTTTTGCCCCTAAATTCTGTCAAACTTGGCTTCATGTTCTCGTAGTTAGGTCAAGATGAGCAGCCTCAAATGCAGTGCAAGTTGTAATATATGCTGCCACCCAGAATTACTTCAATGATTAAAAAAAACCAAACCTGTATTTTATACTGTAAATAAAGTTTAATGATCTTGCCTATAATCTACCTACAAAATACAAAGCTTAAATAAAGATGAGTTAAATAGCATTTTCATTTGAATCTCTCCATTCTGGGCTGGTTAATACCAACAAGGCGACACACAAGCTAAGGCTGCTTTAAGAGTGTTTGCTCCCCCCACCACGGCAGTAAAAGGGGAGCAACAGCTTTGGGTCTGTCACCCTCAGCTCTCTGAAACGTCGCCACGGGACGCCCTCAAAAACAGGTGGCAACGCCTGAATTTCTTGCTACGCGCACACTGTCACTGTGACCTGCAGTCTGGAACAGCTGGAGGGGAAGGGGTTGGGGGCAGGGGGGGACCCCTTGGAAAGCTGTCAAAGTTCATAGGAATTCAGTGCCAGAGCTAATCCACCTGCACGTACCGACTCATTTCTTTGCACTTTGTCCCTTCTCTCACCCCACTCAAGGGCCTCCTTCGGGATTAATTTGAAGTCAGTGACTGAAGTGATGAGACAGCTCAAAATCATCTTTATTCATTTCTAATTATACAGCCTGCAATCTTGGTGCCTAACATTCATTACATTTTTTTACAGGCAGAAGGCTGGTATAAAAACATTCTTATTGGGGGAAAAAAAAAAAAAAAAAAATCAGTAGCTATTGTTCACCAGAAGTTTTCATCCACATCTCCAAGAGAAATGCCTGCAGCGCTGTATTAAGGACAGGAGGGAGGGAAAGGAAGTGGTATGAGTTCCAAGTAGTTTATCTTAAATACTTTTAAAAAAGGAAGTTAAGAGCATGCTTGTGCTGCAATCCTCTTGCAGTTTCAGTGAACTGAAGGAATCGGGCAAGCCTTTACGGGTAAGGGTCTGGGCCTTCACTAGCAGAAAGCCGTCTGGCATCTCAAAAAGCAGCACTGGCTGGCCACTACGGCGGCAGTGCCGGCCCTGTGAGGAGAACTCTGTGCAACGGGTACCAGCTCAAGAGCACCAGGGTTTATTGCCATTACTACAGTTAATGGGAGCACTCGTTTTTGTTAACTGCTCCAGAGTTTTTTGCTTACATAGATTTTCAGTTCTACATCTTCAACTGAACTGAGCGATTTGATAGAGGGTTGTTGGTTTTTTTAACTCTCAAGCAATTATTTATGCATGTCTAGAGAGACCCAGAGGCTGTGCTAACTCCATGCAGGCAGCCAAAATCTCTGAAAAAAGCGTGTGAGCTAGTTTGCTAAAAGCCCACGATGCTGCTGACAAGTCAACACTAGATTCAGTGCTAGTAACGGAGCACCTGCGAGGTGCAGCCCCGACGAGCCCTCACAGGGCCGTCACCCAAGAAGAATCCCTCCCACTTCAGCTCACTGTGAAGGAACCGAGATGCTCCTCAGTGGCAGGTAACAAGTTCTAATTGCCACAGCTACTGACACAGATCACTGAATGCCATACGCTGCATAACTCACCTGCTAAAGAACTGGAAGGGTCCTCATTTTTTCCAACACAATTGCTTTTGACTGCTAGTTTATTTTACTTTTTAAGGAAGCAGATGTCTCTTGACCATAATTCATGCTGTAACTACTTACTAATATGGAGTAACAGAAGTGATTAATAGTAATATATGAGCCTTACCTGTCATCCTGCCCACTAGATACAAGTCCCTCTGTAAGTGATACTTCTCCCATTTCTTCTTTTTTTAAATCCTGGAAACCAAGAGGAAAATACACCTGTAACTGGTTCTTAAGTCAAGGTTTAAGTGACCAATAATAGTATCTATATTTGAAGGCACCTAACTGAAAATAAAGTGGCTCCTTCAGAAGATTTTTATTTCTACAAATGCTACACTGCATCTAGAATAATGACACTTTGAAAAACCAGGTTTGGATAATATCTGAACAAAGCACGCTGTGTTCCTTCATCAAAGTAACGTTCACCCACATACAGATGTGAAGGTCAAATTTTCCATTTTGCCAGAATAAATTATCAGTCGTGTTAGTGGAGCTCAAACTGACCTGTATGGATTCAAATTGTACTTAAACACAGTTTAATCTCAAAATTGAGGACATTTAAGTTTAAATACTGTCTTAGTACTTAAAAAATAACCCCCCCCCTCCCCCACAGGATACCAGAACAAAAACCCCTATAGAAGAAAGTTTTTGTTGTTTTTTTTGTTTTTTTTTTTTTTTTTGTTTGTTTGTTTTTTTTTGAGTCAACACATTTTTGCAGTACAAATCCAAACACTCATCTCTGCAGGTTGTTACATAAAGCTTCTGAATGAAGAAAAAAAAAAAATCATGAAAAAAATGAGAATACTGTTTTCATTCTAAACATACTCAGCAAGACAAAAATTCAGTCAGTAACATTTCTGGGACCCAGTTTTGAGAATATTCACCTTGTCTGCCAGTTCCTGTTCTCTTCTCTGCTGGATTATTCTCATATATTTTTCTAATGGATTTGGAGTAGCATCCTTTACATTATCTTCAGCACCAGATTTGCTGTTTACAGATTTTATCCCCTCCTTATCTTCTTCATCTATTTTCACTGAGTTTTGGATCCACTTCAAGACACAAAACCAAAATTAAATACCAATCAGCTCAAGAAAAAAATACCTCAATACCTGCACTGCATGCAGGATTTCATGTTAACCTCGGTAAAACGTGGCAGTCGAAACAGCATTAAACTTGTTACATGCACTTCAAGATGAAATATTAAGCTATTGCTTCAATTCAAAAAGCGACATCCAGAAATCCCACTCTAACCCCACCTGGATATTGGGGGGCGTGAGGCCTGAGGCTTTTATCTATGACATCTACGTGTGAATTGCAGAAGGTGAGCTGACACAGGTACACGAGTTTCTCGAAGGGCCTAGCTTGCTGGTGTGAAGGGTAGCACGAGCACGTCTGACCAGTGCCACCACACTGAATCAGATCAACCAAGGTTGAAGGGTGGAAAGGGGGAACATGAAATGGGAGAGAGCAAAAACATACAGGTCCTAGAAGTCCAGAACACTACCTCAACACATACTACATCAGCTCAAAGATTTAAGAAAACTCCTTGAGGCCTCCTTATAAATTCTGCTTCCAAGGAAGTACCTTAGATGCCTTGATACAGGCTAATGAACAGATGGACATTCAGATGTTCTGGTGTTGTCCCACCAGTGGTGGTCCAGACCAGAAAGACTGTGAATGCACAGCTTGTTCCAGCAGCATGGTGACAGCTGCCTTCTAAGTTCTGGCAGTAAAACTGTAGCTTCTAGCTACATGAAGCATGGAAGAAAAAGCATCTGTTTCCAGTGAAAAACTTACTTGGCATAAGGAGAAATTCTAGGGAGACTCTGGTTAATCGCACAAGTACATAAAACACCTCAGGCTCTACTACTTTCACTTAAAGAATAGAATCTATTTTTAACCAAGTAACACACACAGCGATCCTAAAATACATGACAGTACAAAACTGCATTACTGCCAGAAATTAAAATACTAAATCACCACCTCTTTGTCAAACTTTTCCACTTTTTCCTCTCTTTCCAAAGCTTCCTGTTGTTCTCTCTCTCTCCTTTCTTCTCTTGCTTTCCTTTCTTCTTCTAAGTTTTTCTCAACTTCTCTATTCTGTTCTTCAATCTGTCTTTGATCCAGCACCGCTGTGAAAAATTATTTTAACATCTGTGATTTATGTAGTTCAATAATCTACTACAGTAGCATACAAATAAGTAACAGGTTCCTGTGTAACAGTAACAATAATTGAGAAACAAATGGATATATTGTCTGTACGTATACCAAAGTATAGGTGTCTTGGGTATCTGGTAATGTTTCTTCCCACCTCTAAATGTTTTCAGCCTGATACATGACTCACTAAGAGTTAAACAGTAGAGCTGAAGCAGAGGCCCAAGAGCTGGCAGATCTATATACTTCTCATTCCTATCATGGACTTCCTTATTAAATCTCTGTTATCCAAAAGTTCACATTGCTATATTCTTTCCCTCTCTGCAATACAGCTGGATACAATTCTTTATATTCATAAAGCAAAGTACTTGAAAAACCTTTGAAAATTATTGCAGGACACACTGATGATGTGACCATTATATTTAAAAAGCTGTGTAAGTAGTACGGTTTTCAGGCATTAATTAGATGGGCAAACTATATACTGGGAATTTTCAGGAGCTAGAAAGCTCTTCTCTAGATAGAAATAATCATAATGCTTCTATCTAGAACAATCAGAAAAGCGACACATGCTGCACTGGAACCATCCTCATCTACCCAAAGAATTAAAACACCATTGTGATAATACAGTTCATGAACAGAGTCAAAAAAAATGAAAAAAATGTACAGGCAGTACATAAAACACTTTAAAAACAAAACCGGACCAAAACAAAACCTTTCAAGTCTTATTTCTATCAAGAGCAGCAATAATATTTAATAATCATCCTAAAAAGAAAAGAA